CGCCGCCAGAGTGGCTGGCTTTCCCGCAGCTCCTATTTATTTTGTTCCTCTACTTCTTCCTCTCATAACTTTGCTGCTGTGAGGTGGGAATTTCTCCATTGTGAGACTACTAAAGGTTTTCTTGTCTTATCTTATCCATTGTTCTAAATGCCGATCAGAAAGCTATCTGTCTGTACAATGTCTATGTACATCATGTGAAGTTTGTACAGAATGGTGTAAAATATTGCCCCCTTTAAATAGTCATTGTCATTAACTGTTTTCAATCTGTGAAATTAAAAAAAGAAATCCTCTACTCTAACAATCAGTTATTTTGCTTGAATTGGCCAGGGTATGAATTATTTTGCTCTTAACCGTATATGCTCTAGATATTTACATTTCAAAATGCAATATTCACACTCAAAATACGACACACGAATAATGCACACTTCATACTACTGAGGACCATATTGGGTTAATGTTTTGTCAAAAACAACTGGTGAATTATTTCACTTGGGCATTTAGTCATACTTGAAATCTTGGGAGTGTACTTAGCCGATCCAATAAAAGCACTTTCCTCTCCTACACAGTTCAATATGGGATAACAAATACCTGCAGTGGAGGTCTGCAGACCCAGCTGCCAGAAGAATGTTGTTGGGATGCCAATCCAGGCTCAGAATGGTGGAGCGAATGGGCTTTTTGATGTGCTTACTAAGCCACCTGTGGGTAAGAAGGGAAAAAATTCAAAAAGCCGTCGTTACAAACTTAAAGGAAACTGTAAAAGGTGAAATGTGCTGAGCTGTAGAAATCTGGAGCTGTGTCAGTGCATCTATCAGAAGTATTCAACAGCCTGTGCGTGATGTCTGTGTTTGACTTGTGCTTGATTTAATCACACAACACCATCAGTTACTTTCTTATGGACCAAGAAGCAGTATACAAATGTGTACTGACTGTAAAGCAACGTGGCAACTGTGCATTTCATAACAGACTGCTGTGTGGTTATGATGTGCTACAGTTATAAACCTGTAAAAAAGATTTTGTGGGGGTTTAGTTTCTATAGTAATTTTCTGTGTCGGTGGGGCCTTCTATTGGACACAAGCAGTACATGTAGCATCAAATTTGTGCAAAACTATAATAGTACCAATTTGAAATCAGAATTTTGTTCATTATTGTTTGTCATTTTCTTCCAAGAGAAAAGGTGCAGTGTATACTGCAGCAAAGAAGGGCTGCGTGTTTCCATTTTGCTATTACCAATCATTTTCCTTCTCAAAATAGCAGACAGAGATGAGTCGAGCTCCACTGCCCAAGGCGAACTTGTTCTCCAGGGGAGACCACTTTACACAGGTGGCTGCACGGTTGATTCGTACAAGGACCAGAGTGGGCTTCCACGAGCCATCCTTTAGAGTCCACACGTAGGCGTTGCGGTCAGAGGCACAGGTGACGATGCGATTGGACTCAGGAGCCCAGTCGATGCCTGTGAACATGACGATGAGGTTCCATTAAAGAATAATTAATGATGTGAAGCTCAAATACACAAATGCTTGATTCACTTTCAATCTACATAATACCGTATTTTCCGCACCTAAAGGTGCACCTAAAAGCATTCCATTTTCTCAAAAGCCGACAATGTGCCCTATAATCCGATGCGCCTAATATAAAGAAACTGTCACAGTCTCTTGATATTCCCTATTGAGTTATTTCCCTGTTAGTCTACCTATGCCATTTCGTGGTGATTATTAGCAGGAACCAATTGTAACCTTAAGGGGTTCTGGCCAACATTAATTGACAAGCGCATTCGCCAACACACACTCAAACACACAACTACTTTGTGAGCTCTGCGCAGCCATCATGAAACGAAGATAATACCAAAAGCAGAGTTAACTACTGAGGAGACAAGCAAGACTTCTCAGGATATTTAGCCCCTTGTGGAGCCCACGAGGTGTGTGTGCCTTTTTGTTGAATCAATTGTCTTCATAACTTTTGGCTTTCATTTATTGTTTTGTCAGGCCATTTGTATTTATGTGTTTCATGTCCGTGTTTGTGACCAGTTCTCATTGTTACAGCTGCAGCGGTTGTGAAGGCGCTGTATGAATAAAGCTGTATTGTATTGCGCCTGCTGCTACCGACTGCTGTCAGGCTGCTGAATAAACATACGTGAAAACCTGTAACCATTGTAAATAGCACAGCCACCTTATGTTGAGTTTTCTATGCTATTCCTAATTTATTATATTTATTCTACAAATATATTGCTATGCCCTATAATCCGATGCGCCTAATATAAAGAAACTGTCACAGTCTCTTGATATTCCCTATTGAGTTATTTCCCTGTTAGTCTACCTATGCCATTTCGTGGTGATTATTAGCAGGAACCAATTGTAACCTTAAGGGGTTCTGGCCAACATTAATTGACAAGCGCATTCGCCAACACACACTCAAACACACAACTACTTTGTGAGCTCTGCGCAGCCATCATGAAACGAAGATAATACCAAAAGCAGAGTTAACTACTGAGGAGACAAGCAAGACTTCTCAGGATATTTAGCCCCTTGTGGAGCCCACGAGGTGTGTGTGCCTTTTTGTTGAATCAATTGTCTTCATAACTTTTGGCTTTCATTTATTGTTTTGTCAGGCCATTTGTATTTATGTGTTTCATGTCCGTGTTTGTGACCAGTTCTCATTGTTACAGCTGCAGCGGTTGTGAAGGCGCTGTATGAATAAAGCTGTATTGTATTGCGCCTGCTGCTACCGACTGCTGTCAGGCTGCTGAATAAACATACGTGAAAACCTGTAACCATTGTAAATAGCACAGCCACCTTATGTTGAGTTTTCTATGCTATTCCTAATTTATTATATTTATTCTACAAATATATTGCTAATGCTATATTTTATATTGCACTTATATTGGACTGTATACAGTCCAAGATGGCGCCCGAGTTGGCAGCCGTAGGCAAGTGCTCTCATGAGCCATGCTTTTTTTTTTTGTTTGTTTTTGTGTTTGTTTTGTCACTTTGTGTATGTTGTTGCGTCGTGTGGACCGGATGTGGATTGTTTTTCAGCATTTTATCGCTACGACATTCATCAAGGAGGAGACTCAGTGCTTGGTGGTTGCGCCTTCTCGTCAGCATGGGTATACCAGCACTGTTTTTGATTGGGAGGAATGTCGGTGCCATTTGACTGTCATTGCTGGACAGCTCTGGGGCACTTGTGTTTTTCTGCGCCTGTAATGGGCAGCATTTTACACAGCCCCGCTTTGTTCAGCGGAGAGATCGGTGCTGTTGGATGGTCTGCGGCTGGATGGATGCAAGGCTTGAGGAGCCGACGATGAGAAGAAAGGAGCGTCAGCGCAGAGCGCCGATGCAGATGTGGAACTGGGAGTCGCGGCTTGGAGTTGAAGTGGATTACTTGGGACAGGAGATGTGAGCCAATCTCTTTTCGTCAATGGACGCTACAGCTTCGTGTTGGCTTTCAAAACTTAGCTTGTAGCAGACGTGTGCACATTTTCAGCATGACGTCTCTGATCCACTGGTGAAAGGACACTTTGATCCTCTCCTCTTTCATCTATAACTGCTTCAAACAACAAAATGTATGCAGGAAAAGTGATTAAGATTGTCCGACTGTGTCTTTTGTTGTGTTATTTTGACTTCATGATGGCGCCGCGAGAGTGGCTGCCTTTCCAGCAGCTCCTATTTATTTTGTTCTTCTACTGCTTCCTCTCATAATTTTGCTGCTGTGAAGTGGGAATTTCTCCATTGTGAGACTATTAAAGGTTTTTGTTATGTTGTTATTTTGTGCAATGAAACACTTTTCTTTTCTCCCCCCAATTTTACTGCTGTAGACTGCAAATTTCCCCAGTGTGGGACAAATAAAGGTTATTATATCTTATCTTATTCCATTCCTTTAGCATAACACCATCTAGTGGATGCATACTGCAACCGCAGCCACTATAGTAGCTTCTATTCACTGAAGGTGCAATTATAGAGCAGGAAATATAGTAGATTAAATTTTACATTTATTATGTGCCTTTCCTGTTTCTTTCAGCCCAGGGAACACATGGATTGCCTGCCTGATTTGCTGATGCTACCTGACCTTGTCTCACTAAAGACTTTTCCTGATCATCTGAAACTTACCTCTCCCCTGTCTAATCTGCTTATGCTACTTGACACTACCCATTGCATTAATAACCGTGGCTTTCTGCTATTTGGGCCCAAAAACTGTGTCGGAGCTTAACATTTGCACTTTTAAAATCCCACCTCCAAAGCAAATCATTTTTACCATGGAGTTGATATTTTGTCATGCAATTATTACACATTATTGCTGTAAGTCAGTTTAAGTTGACAGATGCCACAGCTGGACACAACGGTAGGTTGTGGTAATGTATGGCATTCTGGATTGAGCATCAGAGTTTTTGTCACACAATGAACTTGGGAGAGGTAATAAATGTAACTGAAAAAAAAAAAAAAGACACGGTTAAACATTTGAAGCGGAAGCCACCCTTCCCTCAGGCACTCTCAAGCGATACAAGCTGTTTTACCTGTGATACGTCCACTGTGCTCAGTAAGCTCATGGATCTTGATCCAGTCTCGGCCTTTCTTTTCATAAATGTTCACCACATTGTTGTTGGGGCTTACCGCAATTTCTGTAGGGAAACAAGTATTCACAACATTTTTGTATTGGATGTACAGTATTTCCAAATGTATTCATGGAAGGACTTCATCATTTCATGGAACAAAGCAGGACAAATTAGAGTCTAAAATCTTGTCATGGCTAAACCTGGCAACCTAATGGGATCATACAATCTTACTGGTATATATTTTCATCTATAAACCCATTTAATATTTGACACATATACCTCATATATTTGTTTTGAGAATGACGGTTTGTTCATGTCATCTCACCATCAAGTAGGGATCTTCCCTCTCTTTTGAGCGTTCTTGGTATGAACAAAATACTGACACACCACAGTTAAGACAATTTATGTGTCAGTGTTTGGTTTAGTCAAACCAACTCAACTACATTGCATCATTAAAGGTGCAAGTCTGTGCTTTGTAGTTCAAGCCTTTGGTCAGAGCTGTCATTTACTGTGTCTGTCTGTCCATCCGTCCATTACTGACAGTTGAGCAAAATTTGTTTAACATACACCGTTATTTTTCACATCAAACGTAGACAATAAAAGTGTTGTATTGGGAACATTGTAGTCAGTTAGCTAGTCTGTCTTTTATCACTGTAAGGCATGATGAACATTGTGTACAAAAAGTACACAATGTTCATCAAGCAACAATACACTCTGCAGTGCTCAACAGTATCTTCAGCTGTGATCCCATCAGTGAACCTCTTTAGTCCATTTGCTGTTTTGGTAATCAGATTCCTTGTGGTTCCACAGGCAGCATTAATGCAATTACGGGATAGAGAAAAAGCATCCGCAATACACCAGTGACGTCGCTGCAGTTGGGGCCAGTGGGGCCTGGCCCCACCAGACAGCGCTGCTGAGCACTACGGACGCTCAAAATAAGTGTGAACGGAATTGGTCTTTAGAGCTAATAATTTATTAAATATTTTAGCACAAATAATAATATTCAATAAATACCAATGTTATTACTAAGACAATTTCACAAACAATTCTGCATAATAGAAATGGTTTACCAAAGCCAAGTTCAATGGCCTAACTTCTTAAAACGTGACGAAAAGAGACTGAAATCCGTTCATGAGTGCTTATTTAAGTGATGAGCCACTCGAATCATATTGCGCATGTCCAAAACTGCTCTCAGTAGACGGCCATAGGGCAAAATTAACTGGGTCCATCATCCAATCAAAATATCAGAATGATATACGTGACGTGATGCCAAGCCGCAATCAACAGACGCTAACTTTTGGCGGATGGCAGCATACATACAGCAGCAGGCTCGGTTGGTTTTCATCTGGAGCAAAAGGACGATAATAGTAATTTTATAAATGGCAAATTTAGCACTTTGCCACTTGAGAAAAAAAATAGATATAGAGAGAAATTAAACGTTTGGGAACACATCAGCTGGTGGGTATTAACATTGTTCAAACAGGAAAGGACAAAACCCACTCTTTCAACCCGGAATGGTTTAAAAGGAAAAATATGGCTAACTGCATGTGCCATGTGAAAATCGCTCTACAGTATTGCTTTCCTTGCCTACTGTTCGGAGGAGACACTACAGTTGGATTCAAAGATTTGAACAATTCAAAGGTTTTATTCATAGCCTTAATTTGGCTTTGAATAAAATGGATCGTGGTCTTGATTTTGACTTTGTTGTGTCGGCTTTACTGCTTGTGGATGTCAAGTACCCACTGTGGTGCCCCACTCAACTTTTCATGCCAGAGACTCACTGATTACCACAGTTGTGCATATCCACAAAGGTTTACCTCAGGTGTTACTCCAAAAGAAAGTACACCGGTGCAAGTGGTTGACAGTGTTTCACCTACGTGTCCTGTCTTTATTCCAGGTGTGGCAAGAAAGTGGCTCCAGACCAAAACTGTAGCGTGACATGTCTGAACAAAGATGGGAGAAGCTGTTGGAATGTGGCTGCCAGCCCAGATGGTCTCCTGAGACTGAGATTAAGGAGGCGCACAGGGAGATACTTTGTCATAAAAGAGACAAAAGAGCAACAACATCCACTAAATGTCTTGATCAATATCTGTTAGCACTCTTTCATATTTACTGTGGTGTACACACACACATTTTTTAGTCCTTCATGAGCAGACTTCTCTGTGAATAATTGTTTGAGAAAATAATACACACCTTTTGAGGAGTGGTGCATACTATGCAAACAGGATTTTTCTTTGCCTTTACTATCTGTGCACCCTCATCCTCAGGAACAAGAAAACGTTGACTATTTGTACTTATCTTGATTGTCAAAGTGCTACTATAAAGCGGGGATATTCATTTTCAGCCTTCCTCAAGCAGGTAGAGGCAGCAATAATAGTCACAAGCTCCAGGCAGACGAAAGGTTTTTCAGCTTCATGTATCAAATAGCAGAAATGGAATTTGCTGAGTCGATGCGACGAAACAACGTAAACAACCACTTACCTTTTGTGTAGTTGAGATGAGTAGTACACTAGTTAGTGGCTGTATATTCGTGGACTCTGGACAGTCGACACGAATGGAGCTGAGCAGTCGTACTACAAGGAAGTCAGTGTGTTATTACTCAAAGGAGTGAAGGAAAAGTGGGTGTGTCTTGAGTGTCAGCGTTGAGGATTGGGTTAGCATCTCATTTGGACGGAACGACATACAATACAGTACACTCTTACTAATGATGTACTGTAGCAATCATTTCAGATGTGAATGTATGGGGGATTCGTGTATTTATTAGTGAGAGTTGACAGGTCAATTTAGTCCGCACTGAAGGTCCAGGTCCAAAATGCACCACCCACCACTGGTTGCCAGAATGTGGGGAAGAAGCCAGAATAACCACTCCGCCACCCACTTTATTGAATGATTGAACAACTCTAAAATGGTTGCCAGTCAATTGCAGGTTAATTGTCTGTGGGTGTGAATGTGAACGGTTGTTTTTTTCTATATATGCGCTTATATTGGCTGGCGACCATTTTAGGGTGTACACTCATCCTTACCCGGTCGGTTGGGATAGATGGTAATAATGTATTAAGCAATTAATAAATACGCAAATAAATAAATTAAAAAAAAACTAAAAGAAAGAAAGGAAAAAGAAAGAAAGAAGTTGTAGTCATATTTATGATCAGAATCCTGAAGAATACTCCGTCCATTTTCAGCAGACTGTCCACGGCGGCTTGAACTCGGTTCGCTTATGTAACCGAGCACATCACACAGAAAGTGAACAAACGCTGTGTAGTACTATTGAAAACAGGAAGTTAGCGTGAAACTGTGTTAGCGGAAGTAGTTCTCTACGGCCCGAAAAGAAAACAAACAGGGAACGCTCCCAGCGGGACTTGGTAAGGACTTTTGTCAAGTTTGCATTTTGAGCTGCAACGTGTAAAAGTTTATGAATAAAAGAAGTGGACATTATAGATGTCTGCACTTTCCACTTTCCGTCGTCTATGGTGTTAGCTTATGCGGTTTAAAAGTTAGCTTTGCTCGGAAAATAAACATTACAATATTTTATGACTTACTTTCAGACTTGCATCATTGTCATTTTGTTATCATCTCATAGACAGGGTTTCCATCCCCCAAAACACCGACAGTGGTTTGTACTGATAATAAACTTTATTATAAGTATGGAAAGAGTTAGCCTGAAGAAAGTTAGCGATACCAGATCAGTTACTCTGTGAGCGACCGCTTACCACTTGGTGTTCTTCGCGTGTTAGTTATTAAAACACGTAACGTACAATTAATTCAAAAGGCGTAAATTCAATAAAGCACTTTTGCTAATATTCAGTAATAGTCATATAGAAATGTATATGTAATGCAAATAAATAATTCTTATTCAATTTAAAGCACTGGTGCTGGGAAGTCAAATGGGAAAACTAGCATAATTACTGTAGAATGGTATGACTTGATGGGAAAATACAATACAGTAATGCTATTAATTAGGCTTAAGATGTTGTTACAATTGCATACAATTGTGCAGAGATGGGCACTTCACCCTATTTTGCCGGTCCGTCCTCCGTTCGTGACCTGGGCACCCTTCCGTCATCGTCCCTCCGCCCTTATTAATAAAATAATCGTCTTCTGTTGCCGTACGTCCTCGTCCTTTCAAAGAGCTTCTGTCCTTTCAATTCACCAGTCCCCCCCCCCCCCCACCCCCCTGCCAATAAAAAAAGCGTCCGTGCATGACACCGTGGGAGAGAGGCTCACAGCAAAGGTTTCAGAATTCATGAACATTATTTAAAGACCATTAGCTGGCTCATTTCCTATTCACATCCATTTACCGGACGGACAGGCCGTTTGGCACATGTATGTGCACTCTTCCTCCACATAGATACACAGTACAGCAGTGTGTCTTGAACTCTTTTAATTAATGGGCCAGTGCACGCAAGAGCATTGCAAAATATCATTCTGTTCCGAGTGCAAATATTTAAATTCCATATTTGAATGCTTTTCCACTCACACGCGAATCCCTATTCGAGTCACCACCATTTTAAGACCGGCAGCAAAAAAAGTGTACAAGAGGCTTGCACACAATTGTGTGAACCAATGTGGACCACTTTACACATCAATGATATAAATTATGAACAGTGTGGACAATTTAACACACACAAAAACATACTTTATTATTTTCAGATCGTATTCGGCCTCCTGTTGCTTCTCCTCAAACTGCCTTTTGTAGGTGGGGTACCCCAATAAGGGACATGTTATGTTGAGGAAGACCAGCTTGTCAAAGCTGGCACTGACCCTGACGGTCCTCTTTGGCCAGCGGATGTCGCTGGCTGTGGAAAAAAACCCTCTCTACAGAGAGTGACGTGTTGTATTTAATAGATAAGTCCACCCACGCCTCCCTGTGCTCTGCTGGCACGTTCCCTATGCAGTATGTGTGTTGTGTGAGCAGTGGTGTGCTTGAAGCACTCCAAGGCAATTAGAATTTTTGTCCTTGGCACATTTCACCCGAGTAAGTTGAAATGAACTTTTGGCCACCTCCCCACGGCGTCGAAAGCATATGTCGCACAATAAGCAGACGCAGCTGAATACATTTAAACAAAGGGGAAAAACCTAACCCTACCAACACACCTATGGTGTGCACAGGACAGACAGGCAAACAACACAGACAGCTTTCTTAACCAGCTTGATTGAATTGTTCACAACTGTGTAAGCGCCAACCAAGATAGCTCCCAACACAACCACCATCAGCCACCCGACTCATTGGTGATGTGTAAACTTGTTTTGGACAGAGGATGAGTGCTCCTTCTCTTGTCCCCCTGAAGCAAAGCGAAGTCACTCCCTCACACATACAAACACGAGACAAGGTGCACGTCATGATGTTTCACATTCGGGTTGAAGTAGTGTATTAGCGGATAAAACACGCAAATCAGGCTGGACGTGTTTCTGTCAGTCGTTAGTGAAATGGGCATCCGTAGGTACTTGACCTGGTTAGGAATGATTACGAGGATAGACGAAAGCCCACTTCCGTCCTTGCTTAGCCCGTCTTAAAAAAAAAACCCGCAAAAACTTCTTGTCCTCCATCCCCAAAATGGGCATCCATCTGGGATGGATGGAGGGACCGTTTCGTCCCAGGGATGGAATGCCCATCTCTGTTATTGTGTTATCATGGATAATGTTTCCATGTTGTTGTTTTTTAATTGCAGTTACAGTAAGAACATTGACACAATACTTAGAACACTTCCTGCACACCTGATAATGGTTGTATAATCGGGACAGTATTCCTCTTGACTCTTATTTCTATTCACATGGTTTCCTCTCGAAAATCTAGTTTCGAACTTCAAACAAATTGAAAGAACACAATGTTTTTGCCCTTCCAGGAGCAATGTGCAATATTGACACTAATAACACTAAGCAGTGTAAGCTAGTTCTTTTAAACTTTTGTCCTTTCTACTACCACAAATTGTAATTTCTCTCTGCTCCTGTTGTAGATCACAAGAGAAGGATGGCTTCATGTAGTACAAACAAAGAGGATGAGCGTAAGCTGCGGGAGTGCGAGGTCTATGTTCAAAAGCACAACATTCAGCGGGTGCTGAAAGACTGCATTGTCCAGCTGTGCACAGCCCAGCCCGAACGACCCATGGCGTTCCTCAAGGACCTCTTTGAAAAACTGGCGAAGGTTGTTTTTATGCAAAATACATCATTAAAAGCTGAGATAGACTTCATCTTACCTGTGACCTTCAAAACTGGTAAAAAAAATGTAGGGGTGAATGAAATTTTTAAAACAAAAAAAATTTTTAGTTAGATTTTATTAGCGTTGTCTTGTTTCTGCAATCACAGTGGGACAATGTGTGTGGGGACACCTTTGACTGTAAAAAATGTGTGGAACCGCTTTTCCATCCCATATGCTGGCTTGTTTTGCGTAGTCTATTGTTTAAATTGTTGTATGTGATGCCACATATTGTTAATCATCCGCATGTTGTAATGAATAAGGTGCAATCACAGCATCATTTTTCAATATCATACATGTTGCTACTGCAATAGTTCTTAAAGTATTGTGACATAATTTATGAGCTGTATTACAGACATATCCTTCTGTACATAAAGAATAACTGAGAAATATGGAGTAAGTGCCACCTTTTCAACTCAACTCATATACTTTTGTAATCTATAACACAGTAAGTACGTTCAATTTTGTTATCGCAAAATATTGATGATAAAGAATTAGGAATAATCAGAGATGTGTCCAACTATAGTGTTGGTGGGGAGCTGCTTCAAATGAGCACTCTTCTGCCAGCTTGATAGCTACCATCCCTCCTTAGCAATGGTGCGGTGTCCGTTTGTGTGAAGTAAAATAGCTGTCAAGAAAATGAACCCTCGTGACACTGTTGATGCTCTTTCCACCAACAGGAGGAGGTCCAGCAGATGGTGTTACAGCAGAAGTCCACGGACTCGCGTGAAGATGAAGTTTCACCACCTATGAATCCTGTGGTGAGGGGCAGGAGCAGAAGGGGCGCTATCAGTGCTGAGGTGTACACAGAGGAAGACGCTGCCTCTTATGTCAGAAAGGTCAGTGCTAAAATGCACCGCTGCAAATCTGCACATAGAAGTGAATGCTGGACTAGCTTACCTTGCATTGGGCATTGAATGTTTTTGGTCTTTTCTGTTTTATTTTGAGAATGTTCTCATTTGTGTGTCATGTAAAAATGTCACATGGATGGATGTTTGAGTTGGGCACCTTTTGTCATGTTTGCAGTGTAAACTGCTTCACAGCAAAGTGTACATCTGATAAACAAACAGTGGCAGTAATGCGCAGGATGAATTGGTCACCGACCAAGAAAATAATCCTTCTGTCTGCCATATATTTTGCAATTTATCTTCACTGGTTAAACTGAAAGAACCAGAAATCTCTCCAGTGAGAATACAACACACATCCCTGTTTTGCACAAGAGTTGGTCAAGGTAGATACTTTGCAGGTCAAAATTTGCATGTTGTGCATCATCAATACACATTGAATAGCAAAATTGAGAATCACAGAATTTGGACGCACTCGTGTTAATGCTGCCGCAACGCCCTAATGTCACCTACGCACGGGACGTAGGCCGTCGAGGCAAGCTCGGGGCTGCTTAGGCCACAACCAGCTAGATAGCAACAAGTTTTACTGGCTACTAATTGTCAATAATCTTCACCTCCATGGTGGTGATTTAGCTACAGATCTGACAAGTATCATACTGAAGGGATGATGAGGAAAAACTGAGAAGCCACGCTAATTGCTAGGCTAACCTAACACTGACACAAGTAGTGTGTTTTTAATGTCAGAATTAGGTGTTTGTAATGTTTGAGTCCACTTTAAACAGATGTCTGGCTGGAACCTTGTTAAAGGCTGTGTTTGTGAATGTGGAGTTTTGTTTGAGACTAAATTGCAGACTGAAATTGGCCCACATTGAGTAACAAAGTAGCAGGAAAATTAATACCGGTAAGTGTCTCGAGATAAAATCTACTTGCTGAACAGAACCGGAACTGAAAATGTGTTACGATATGCTGCGCCATATGTCAAACAGGAGGAGTTGCCTATAAATGTCAAAGTATATGAATGTACAAGTAGTATAACATATTTATAATATCAGTTGCAATGTTTGTTTGTTTTCACAACAGAATATAAGGTGCTTCGAATAATGCCCCATTTTAAAACTGTTTTCATATGTAGGGCGCACTGCATTATAAGGTGCAGCTACAATAGTGGCTGCGGTTGTGCTGTGCATCCACTAGATGGTGCTATGCTAAAGGAATACAACACAATACAGCTTTATGTAGCTAGAGCCTTCACAACCAACAAAGCCATGAGAACTGGTCTCAAACATGGACATGAAACATATAAATACAAATGGCATTACAAAACAATAAATGAAAGACCAAAGAAATGAAGACCATTGATTCAACAAAAAGCCACACAAACCTTGTGGCATCACGTCCACAAGGGCTAAATATCCTGAGAAGTCTTACTTGTCTCCTTCCTTCGTTTGGTCAGTAGTTAACTATGCTTTTGGTATTATCTTCGGTTCATCATGGCTGCGCAGAGCTAACCAAGTAGTTGTTGGTTTGAGTGTGTGTTGGCGAATGCGCTTGTCAATTAATGTTGGGCAGAACCCTTTAAGGTTACAATTGGTTCCTGCTAATAATCACCACTAGATGACGTGGGAACACTAACAGGGAAACAACTCAATGGGGAATAGAAAGAGAGTTACGTCTCTTTATATTAGGCCCATCCGATTATAGGGCTCACTGACGGCTTTTGAGAAAGTTGAATGCTTTTAGGTGTGTCTTATAGTGTGGTAAATACGGTTAATCCATTCTGGATTATCCTGACAAAATTTGTCATGAATTTCCACACTACACATCACTCATCTGTCCCTCTTGCAGTCTCTTTCAGTCACACTCTGTCTTTGCTTTCTCTCTTTCTCGACCAGGTTATTCCAAAAGACTACAAGACGATGGCAGCTCTGGGCAAAGCCATGGAAAAAAACATCCTATTTGCCCACTTAGACAGCAACGAGAGAAGGTATCACATCATTCTAGTCGGTGCGCCGCTAACAATCCTTCCCGAACATTTCTTGCTCATCAAACAATTGTTTTTGGTCTTTCAGTGACATATTTGATGCCATGTTTTCTGTCAACTACATTGCTGGAGAAACAGTCATCATTCAAGGTAGGGCTGGGCGATATGGCTGAAAACTCTATTTCATATGAGTCAGTTCATATATATGTAATTAATATTTTTAACTTAATGAAAATAAGAAAACATAAATAAATACAATAAAAGACCATCTCTAGAGGAAAAAAAGCTAGTTTTCAAGGAATGTACACTCTTGTTATGTATATTTTAATATAGTGTAAGGTGCAGTGTTGTTTACATCTCTGCTTTCCTAGCAGTGCTGTCAATATGTATTTACGAATAAGGTAAAGGTGTTACCCCAAAAATAGCGTTGATTCAGTTATATTAAAATTCACTCTCTGTTCATACAGTCGAAGTGTCGTGCCTAAAATCACTCGTCACACAAAACCTCACAAACTCCTATTATTTTTTTCCTGTTTCAGGTGATGAGGGAGACAACTTCTATGTTATCGACTTGGGAGAAATGGATGTAAGATTATGTTAATATTTTTGGGTGCAACTGTTTACAGCATACATTTGCTCGGCTTTTTATAAGGGGGCATGTCAGAACAGTCAACAGGCTAATGTACACCAGCTCAGAGCTTATTGGTGTGCGACTCTTGTCCAAATTCCAACCTCATCTTTCCAGCTTTCGTAGAGTTTTCCTTCTTAAAAAGGTGGCAGAACTCTGTGGTTGCTCACCATCCTCTGCTACCGGCGTTACCTTGAAAACTAACTTGTATTTCAACTCAAGACCTCTTTATTTAGCAACTGCTCTCCTCAGATTCATTACAACCACCGAACTCCCTCCAAAACCCATGCGCTCTCTCTACATCACTGAAGTAGCACTGCCTCCTAGCAGTGTCGCATGTGAAGGTTACTACTTAAAATAAAACAACACCAGACGCTATCATGCAAACAGAGTAGTGAGTTGCAAGGACATAGTTAATTGCAAATAGCAAAATGCGACAAGCCCTCTCTCCTCCAGTCTTTGTTTGTATAGTACCACTGGCTTTTGTGTGTGTGTGTGTGTGTGTGCGTGCGTGCGTGCGTGCGTGCGTGCGTGTGTTTGTTGCTGGCTGAAACTGTGACTTGCTGCATATGCAACGTCACTCTCTGAAACGAGATCTCCCAACTATTTATTCAGAATAAAACATTTTTCTTTTCAACAATTTTATTTCCTTTTTTGTACATATTTTCAATTAAATAAAATTCCTTCTCATGGTGTTCCTTCTAATGTGGAAAATATGATACATGTCAAATAAGCTGTTTTTTTTTTGTTTTTTTGCAACACACTATCATGATGCAACGTATGAAACATAAAGAACGACATCAGAAAAGATACTCCTATGCCGTAGCGGTCACCAACCATTTTGAAACTGAGTGCTTATTTTAGGAGTGGATAGGTCTGACTCAGAATTGCATTTTAAACAGTAACAGGCAGATCTTCTGAGAAACCCACTCTAACAGATACGTTTGAATGTATAGTGGTCTATAACTGGGTAACATTATCAAAAATGCCAAAAGCAACTGTACCAAACGAGATCGTGTACATTTACACATGGATTTAATATAACACTTAATTGTGGTGGATAATAGTGACTGCAAGCTTGGTGCATCTCCTTGCAGGTATATGTGAACAACGAGTGGGTCACCAGCATTGGTGAAGGTGGAAGTTTTGGGGAGCTTGCTCTGATCTATGGGACCCCACGGGCAGCTACTGTTCGCGCGAGGTCTGATGTCAAGTTGTGGGGCATTGACAGAGACAGTTACAGGAGAATACTTATGGTAAGCAGTGCTTTTTCACAATGCATGCTAATATTAATAACTGCATTGTTGATTAAATTTTATACACGCATGTACACATGCATACGGTACATACATACACTAGGCCACATGTGTCAAAGTCAAGGCCCGGGGGCCAAATCTGGCCCGCCACATCATTTTATGTGGCCCGCGAAAGCAAACCAAGCATGTCAAGTTCCATGATGCTTGCTAAACTCTGAACCAAAATTTCAAATTGTCGTATGTAATCCACAATAACAGTCATTATTCTTGACTTCTGATTTTAAAACTAGTTATCCACCAATTAGTTGTGCGCTGTGTATGTAATATGTGGAAGTGATTAAACCCATGTACTGCAGCCGATGTAAATAAGTTTATATAACGCAACATACAATTTTACAAAAATTGTAAAAGTATTATTCCTGAATATTTATTTTACTTTCAACCACTCGACATGTTCAGTGGCATCAGTGCTATA